CGATTGACCTCACGTAGGATATCAGGGTTCTTATCTTTGTGTTCACTGTTACTGTTAAGGTAATATTATTTATGTTTCAGAAGATAGACTAGATCTACAGCTCCTTGAATTTCTTGTTTTTTATTTTGTTTGTGGTTTGTTTGTTTTTTTAGTGGTTGTTGTGTTTTCCTTTGCTTCTTGTTGTTGTTTTATTTTTGTTTTTCAAATATTGCAATCCCTATAATATTCTTCTTTTTTGTGGTTTAATTCTAAGTCACTTTTTGCAACTGGTGTAATTTTGTCGCCAAGGTATTTAATGAAATCTAGTACTTAAAACAGCTGACCTGCTCTATTCTTTGGTTCTATTATACATGTAATGTGATTTTGCGTTCAGGGATATCAGCACATTTGGAGATGAACATGCGTGGCTTTCTTAGCATTTTTTGTGCTTCTTCTGTAGTGCCAGTGTTCACAGGCGCGGTGAAGCCAGGCGCATCAGGTCTTGACTAGATATGAATAGTGTTAGACCATTGAGACTATTTTTTTTCTTGGTAAGGGTTTCACGGCGCTCGCAACTGCATAACATAAGGTCATGAGCGTGCGGGACACGTCAAACATTTTCAGTTGGTAGGAAATTTTGAATTTTCCCCGGGTGGCGGAAGAAGCCTACTCTTACTCTTATCGATTTTGGACCACCAGTGGATTTATCTTTAACGTGCGCAGCTTACACACGGAACCTCCGAGATTTTTCACCCGTATGCTAGAAGGTTAGTCAGATCTTTCCTACCATGAGATCAGGGGTGTGGCTGAAAGACAGCAGTGTACGAAGGAAGCAAAGGGTAGCAGTAGAAAGGCTGCATAAACAGTCCGGAGCCCAGAGGAGGGGGCAAAGGGGGAGAGGGGGTGCGGGCAGAAAGTGGAGACGAAAGCAGACGACAGAACATTGTTAGGTAGCAGGAAAGGAGGTGAAATGAGAACATTTTAGAGAATAAAAATTTCCGTAGAGCGATTCTGCCCTCACGACAATGCAACTACTCACAAGTCTGCACCGACCCAAAACCTGATCGCCTCCTTCTGATGGGAACAGTTGAAGTTGAAGCACCCATCGTACAGCCCAGACCTGGCTCCCGAGTGACTTTCATTCATCTGTTCCTGCATTCGAAAAAGTTTTTGGCCGGGCAGGACTTCGCCTTAAACGCTGATCTCACAGGAGAGACTGGACATTGGCTGACATCGCAGGCGGCAGCTTTCTACGATAACGGCATTCAGAAGCTCGTCCCACGCTATGACAAATGCCTCAGCAGTTCTGGTGACTACGTGGAGAAGTAGTCATATATATATATATATATATGAGGTATTCGAAAATAAATCGTTTTGATTGGGAAAACTATTTTTTTATATATTTATTTTAACTGGACGTCCCTCGTATGTTTTACGCCAAAATCGACATAGTTGAGATCATTTAGCACTGCGTCTGAAAAGCGTGCCAGTAAGTTGTAAAGTAAATAGAGACGAGTGACGGGGATGGAGTTGGCGGTACTTGCGCTCTCTATAGACACATTGAAAATTGTTGTATTACCACATGTATTATGTTTTGTTTTGTTTTGCCGATCAGATGGAGATTTGTGGTATGATAAATTAGCTTCAAATGTTTAGTATAATACAATAATATGTTATACATGATCACGTACAAACATAGCCCTTTATATCTAGACATTCTCAGGTGTGATTTTTTTTTCACTCATAAATACGTTATCGTTATATTTTCAGAGTGGTTGTTATTGTTGTTATTATTTTTTATTGTTATATTACCACCATCATCATTAGGCTATTATTATTGTTATCATCTTAAACACCATCATCATCCTCAGTACTATTGCCATAATCACCATATTTGTAAAAATGTTGTTGTATAATATCATTATTATTATTATTATTATCATTATCAAAATTATCATCATAATCACCATCATTATTAATATTATGATGATGATGATGATTATTATTATTATTATTAGGGTTCCCTTATTATTATTATTATTATTATTATGATTATTATGATTATTATTATACCTTGTAGTCCACTTGTGTATTTTGATGTCATGTCCTGGCACATGGAACATCATAAGGAGTCATGTAATATAATACGATGTAATAACTCATACATGGAACACATTTTTTAAAACACAAAATGCTGAGATAAAGAGGAAGAACCCCGCGCTTTCAAGTTCAGTTTTCTTGGCACTTTTGTGTATCCCTCATTATGTATCATATTTTATGTAACTATATCAGTCTGCTTTACCTACATTCTCGGGCTTTTTGCTATGCTTAATCTGACTTAAAAATAATCCTGTCAACAGAATTGTTTCTTGTCTTATCTCTTTTCGATCTACTTTTCTTATATTGTGTGTTATTGTTACATGTATTTATTACAAATTTATATTACCAGGTAATTACAATGAAACTTTGTGG